AGCAGCCCTTATTAATTTCAGTGGTCATGCATTAAGAAGACTCCCTACACTGCACCCCCCATTGTCCCACGCCCTTGATTTAATGCCCGGCACTGATCCACTGCACTCCTGGTTGATCGATGCTGCATAATTCAGCATCTGGCCCGGTGCTGAATAATTAAGTGTCCCAGTTTTTGGCTTCCTCCCCCATCTCCCCCTGCAATCCCCCTCCTGTCACCTTCATCCCTGGCCGTCCACGGTGATCCATCAGCCACACCATCCCGACCAGAACCGCAACTGCGCATGGCAGAATCACAGGGGTGGGATATTTCACCAAACCATCTCCATAATGATAGCAACTCCCGAAACGGGGAAAAACAACACACTGTGAGAGTGTTCAAATTTCATATATTTTGGATTTCTTGTAGCAAGTAACACATGCATGCGGAGGAGGGTGCATGATGCTTTTCCTTATCATTGTGACAGAAATGATCAGATGACCAAATATTTCAATCCACAGACATTCCAGACAGTGTGAGATGTTTGATTGACAACACTGAGACCCAATGGGCAGCCACTTGCCACAGCTCGATGTGAAACTCCAACAGGGGTCAAAAGTGTGACCTGCATACATGTATTTTATCTGTGACCTGCAAACGTTCTCATTACCTCTATGCTTATATTTGGTTTGTCAATGCTCTATTGCACTCAATATTCATGTTATCCAAGCTCTGCTGCTCTCGGAAGTGTCAACACCATTGTTTTTGTTTCTGACATTGTTCTTTTAGGATATTGCCACCGTCAAAGGGAACTCTCGTTATCTTGTCAGTTATCAGGGTTGATCTGGCCATCTGGCATACTGGACATTTTCCTGGTAGGTCAATGAGTTTGTCAGCCCATAAATTTATTATACCCGCCGCCCACACACCCCTGCATGGCAAAAATATATCGTGGGGGACCTCAAACCTTAGAGGGGAATTTTAATCCCAGTTCAGACCCACCAGCTAGTGCTCTTGAGCTGAACTGGTGCTGTGGAGATGCTGGCAGGGTGGCGTTAGGGGGGACGAAGTCATGTGACTCTAGCCATGAGTGCAGGTTTTTAACATACACCTTAAACAGCTTACTAAAGACATACTATAGTGTATTATAGTGTCTTTTGCTTGGTCTCAGCCTGAATAAACAGACAGGTGACCGTGCATGAGATCATGCACGATATGGAGAGTCTGTATGGCTCTGTGGATTAGGCCTCTGCACCTGAGGTCAGTGGGTCACAGGTTCTAACCTCATGGCTTGCAGAGCGGTGTCACCATTGGGCGCTTGAGTAAGGTCCTTTAGCCCAATAACTCCCGGGACCCTGCCTGACCCCGATCTGTGATCCTCACCCGCATGTCGCACTTTAAAAAGTGCCAGCTAAATAAATGAATTACAATCTTGCAATGTTTCCTTTACGAAAAGGCTCATGACCACTTATAGTGAAGCAACACCAACCTCATATCCGGATTAGTTTTTTGTTGCCTCTGGAGATGTTGGCTTGGTGACCAGCGTACGGCATGTTCACCATTCAGGAGCATACAGTTAAGTAGCTCGTCTGGCCCGGGGTCATGTCGCCTACTTCAGCCTGACGCTCTCTCACGTTGCTGTTAATGTCTCGCCTTCCTGCGTTACTCACTCAGCGGCCTACCGGCATGTCACAGTGTGTTTCACAGAGACCGGTGATTGTGGCGGTTTAAGGACAAAGGGCATTGATTTCCGATCCAGACCTAATTACTCCACTCAACCATTTTCTAATAACTGTTTCCACAAGGCGTAACAAGTGGAGATGCACTGGAGTAGGTTAAACTGGAGCCACCAGGTAACCTGAGCTGCATATAGCTTTGGGCAGAGGAAACGCCACACACAAGCGCAGATGTGCACACAATCAGGGCAGGTATCAAAGCATGCAAACCCGCAGGCATGAGGAAACACTTAAGTGCTCCAGCACTTTAAACCTGGCCAGCTTTCACGGGGCCAACTTTACAGAGTGCTACTGGCACAGTGATTGCGAGTAGGGGAGGTCTATTAATATTATTATTAATCGTCCCTCAAGATGAACGTCTTCCTTTTTCGAAATAATAAACATTAGATCGTAATTAAATCATTACACAGAGATTATGTACCGCACTTATATACATGCTGTACAAATACATTATTTCTATGGCAAATAATGAACCAGCCCAGTGGTCTGAAAATCATCAATTACCATTTTAATTTCCAGCTAAAAGCCCTTGGTGAGAAGAGAGGAACAGACAGGCTAAACGTAATGTTAGGGGCGCAGCAATCTAGTGGGCGTGTCTGGCTGCACACAGGGCCAGAACAGAGGAACTCAACGCCAAGCGTCTGATTGGTGTTTACATATGTTACACTTATTTTACCTTGCTTTCATTCCAGTCTGGCTGGTTTTTCATATATAGACATAAGAACAACACATTCTGCAGCAAAATGTGTGTGTGTGTCACATGGGAATTATTTCACACACCCGTGCCTTTGTGCAGGTCTTCTTTGTTAATGAATAGAACATTTTACCACACTGGTTCTAAGCCAGTGTTTCTTGACCTGTTCCTTGGAGACAGCCAGAAAGTCCACGTTTTTGCTCCCTCCCAGCTCCCGGTAGCAAAAACATGAACCTGCTGAACATCCAGGCCAAAGGAAGGCAGATCGGTGGAGTTCTGGCCCATTGGAGGTGCACTGAGCGCAGCGGAGGGATCTTTGCCCTGTTCAGCTTTAACGCTGGGATGTAATACTCCCTCTCACTTTTCATTTCTTCCTGACTAAAATGGCAGTGCTTTGGTGTCCACCTTCTTCTGCCCCGCTGGGTTTTTTTTTTCTTGTTCTGTATGTTCTGTTTCTCTAAACTGTTTTGATGTCCTCTTCACCCCACCAAACCTTCCCTTCAAAACCCTCCCCTGTCCACCCTTAAAATAGTGGCCATTATTTTTAACAGCTCTACACGACGCCAAGGCAACCGATGGGAGTGTGGAGAATGATGTACGACCACAAACAGAAACAGTACCGACGGCGTGGAGCGTCTCTCATAGATAGAAACCCCAGGTTTAAACAGAAGCTGCTATAACCAGAAGTTTCACTTCATCTTTTTTTTGCACTGCTGATCTCACCTGCATTACACACCCTGTAGACCTCAACCACACAACGGCTCACCTGGCGAGTTTTGCTCTCCGGTCCAAGAGGATATTTGAAAACAGTTAGATTTCACTGGAATGTTCCGCTGATATTTCCATCGAGGGCGATTCTCGGCTTGTCCGCCAGCCAGCCCCCTGCCTACTGAACAGCCGGCATTCGCTGCAGAGGCACGACGGACGCTGTGTCCGTGTCATCTGATCCGATCCTGTCATCTGTACACCCCGCTGTGGTCAAACAGGAGTGTTACACCCCAGGAAAGGTTGTGATCCAGGGCTCGGCAGACATGCGGTCCAACAGACCAAGCTGACATGGGGGGGGGTCCTCTCCCTCCATTTGTATAACAGTGTTTCCTAACCCGGTCCTCTAAGACCCCCAGCAGGTCCTGTTTTCGCTCCTTTTCAGTTCTCTGCCACACAGTCCACATTTTTTTCTCCCTACCAGGAGTTGGAAGGCAGCAAAAACTTGGACTGTCTGGCGGACTCCAAGGACCGGGTTGGGAAACACTGTTCTATAACCGCTTATCCAGTATGAGGTTCAGGGGAGCCTGGATTCCATCCCAGGACGCACAGGAAAGGAGGTCAGGACACCCTGGATGGGACGCCAGTACTTCACAAGACACACAGATCTAGAGATTTTCGCCCCCACAATAGCATATCATATTGGGCGCCCAAACCACACCAATCCAATCATGTTCCTAATTTTTTGTCACTCAGGGGGCCCTGGAATCATCTTGACCCCCCAACTTTATGTAGCCCCTGCACACAGCAACAGACAATTTAGAAACACCAGTTCAACTAACTGTCTTTGGACTACAGAAAAAATGCAGAGTACTCACTGAAAAACCCACACAAAGCCAGGGAGACGATGTAAAGCCCACAAAAACAGAGTGTGGGTGCCAATCGAGACCCCAACCCTACAGGTGTGGGCTAGAGTGCCACACCCCCCCAGTAAGCATAACTTCACATTAAGGTCAAGTGAACAGTCCGTTGTGCACCTCATTTCAGTTAACCCTTTAAATGAATTCATACAAGATTTCTGCCTACCTACAGCTAACGGGAAAACAAACTTTAAGTTCAGTGCATTACGTCACATTTTTTTGTGCAGTTGAACCCGAAACATACTGCACAAGGCTCTTACTCAAGTGAACAGGGTGTTGTAGACACTTTATACCCAGTGAGAGGAAATGGCAGGCGATGGAGCGCGCTACTCTGGGAGTCATTAAGGCGCCTTCCCCCAAGAAAGCGGTGAATGCGGAACACCTGTGCCCGGGAGCTCCCCCTGCGCGGCTGCCAGACCCGCGGTTCCTGCCGGCTTGAGCAGGTAGGACAGGTAGGCAGTTGGCGGGGGGGGCAGGCGCTTTGTTTGAAAAATGAATCAGGTGCAGTGCGATAAGCGCAGGCGCGGTGCCCCGTTTACTTCCTTTTGACTGTCAAATGAACGGCGTCTTCGCCGCTCCCATCTCCCAGCCCAGTGCCCTGCTTTTCCCGCAGACCTCCCCCAAGCCTAAACGTGCTGTTATGGAACAGCCAGAATAATGAATAATAAATGACGTCCCATCCATGCATTTTTCAAGCCGCTTATCCTCTTCCAGCGTCACGGTATAATAAACGATATTAAGCTCATTTACATGTTTTAAGTTTAGTGAAGAACTTCCTATTCACGACGGACTCCTACCATCTAATTGTCTCGTGTAAATTAATACGTAAAAAAAACAAACTAGTAAACACATTTTTCGTTCTTGATGCTGACAAATGAGTATTTTCCCATTCCCTAACCGTACAGGAAAACACGTCCCTCCTCATATAACCAGTTTGTTTAGTCTTCAGGCGCCCCCTCGCTCCCGCCCCCCCGGGCCACCGCCCCTGTGCGCGGACCCGGGAGCGGGTTGCCATGGAGACCCCGTCATCGCCAAGGCGGCGCGCCGTCTCAGGTGCTGCTGCTGCTTTACGCCCCGGAATTAGTGCGGTGGGACCGGCGTGCTCGTCCGGGAGAATTACCGGCATCCATACCTCCGTGGGAAAAAAAAGAGGTAGGTGGGGATGAGACCTTCGCGGCACGTGTGAGAAGGAAAAAAGTCATTTTGTTTTCCATGGAAAAACGACGGGAATATAAAGCGCAGCACTGATTGTTAGTGAACCGCGGCCGGTGTGACAGGCGTCCGGGCATGATCTGCTACGGACTTTACACCGGAGGGCTGTCGCTGACTGCAGGCGTTAGGTTCAACAGACTAGTACGGGTTTACCTTAATCACCACACATCAACAAGTTTAACGTGCGTTTTACCAAAGTACAGAGACGTGTCACAAATGTCGTAGGGAATATTTACCAGTCCCGTCAGAATAAACGGGCAGCCTCAGCAAAGACAGACACATGGGAATTTTAGTCAAGTGGTCTTTTTTTAATTGTGCATCGAGCCTAAACTTGTGCGCGATTATAGTGAGGTGTAAATTGAAAATGATCGAGTGAGACTTTTGATCACTTAATTGCTGGAGCGTTTGTGTGTAAGAAAGAAAGAAAGAAAGAAAGTAAGGACGAGAGAAGCAGGGCGTGACTAGTACTGACACACCTGTTCCAGGCCTCAGCAGTGCGGGAGGGAGTCAGGAGAAAGAGAAACACAGAGAGAGAGAGATTGTAGCTGTTGGCGGAGTGGGCCGGGCATGCACACACACGGAGTGACGAAAAAGAGTGCGTGAAGCCTAACAGCAATCATACTTTAGTGTTTCACCCATCCCCCCCCCCGCCCCCGCCTTGTCAGCTGTCATCTAAGTTTCAGGTAAACTGTTTTTCCTCCTCAGGCTGGCATTGGAGTCAGGTTTCTGTGAGCTCTGAACAGCCGAAAGGCCATACAGGACATATAGGTAAGACTGTAATGTTGGTTCCTAAAGTTTACCTGTTTGAGGCATTTCTGTTCACATATGAATGGCTGATTTGTTGTTTGTTTGTCTTTGGTTTTTACGCTTGCTTTCATTATTTTATTAGTTAGTGGCATGTTTTGTGTTCAGTGAGTTTTTGACTGATCACGGATATTGATATAACTAATAGGCGTATTTTCATGACCATATTCCTGGGACATTTAGGTCATATTTTGTAATTGTGTGTATATCTACACACAGTACCTAGAGTATACTGCAGATGAATGTTTACACACTGCTCCAGTAGGTACAAAGGGCAGTGCTATTTTTGGGGAGATAGTGGTGTAAACCTCTTGCTTGGTGTGTGTAAGTCTCATGTGGTCCTACATGGTCTGCCTGCCTGCCTTTACTTTACTTGTCCTTCCAAAGGTTACACTGTTCGTTTGCCTCAAGCACGACTGTGACGGCACAAATATTTTTTTCCTTCAGACACTTTTGTTTGATCTGTCATCAATGTTTACTTTTCGGAAGCCATACAATGCAACCTCTAACAGCGCGGGAGCAAACAAGGAGCTTCTGTTGTCCTGCAAGGTGTTTTTCTCTCTCACACCAGTTGTTTTGCATGCTCACATCGTTTGCATCGTTACTGGCTCACAGTGGCACAGGGTGTTTGTAACCTTCCCTCCTGTTCTGTGCCAGGAGTAACCGACATACAAACGTCTCAATTCGTAATAAGTTTGGGCAGGTAAAGACTGAAAATTGGCTCAGGTTAGATCTAATAATTATTTTTTTTTTTTTGAGTGTTTTGTTTTGATACAAAATAAAGACACAAACAGTTTCCAGTCATTATCTTTAATTTGTTTTTGAGATATGGTTATTGGGGTACCCCATGACCTATTGAGTGGGGATCTCATTTTCATATTCGTGAAAAATTTAGTCTTTCAAGCTCTTTTGGTACCTAGTTTAGTGGGGTTTTTCTTAGGCTTCTATGTGAAAATCGCGGGCGAAATTGACAGATACTTCTGGTCAAACCGCTGACTTTAATTCCAGCGTGTTTTTGAATGAAATGAAATGATGATAAATTGAATCTGAACCTTGTTGGGCCCCCTTGTACACTTTCCTCCAGTCAATGCGCATACCTGCCGGTACCCATTACTAGCCGTAATAATGCCACAGTTACAGCAGTTGGAGCTTGTAGCGCATCAGAAGCCAGTTGGCACACAGTGCAGGGAGTGGAGCTGTGCCATTGAGCACTTAGCGTGCTGATTTGTCCTGCCCTGAGCCGAATAGCTGAAACGGCCGTGTGGAGCCGAAACCCGGCGCCACCATCGTGTGCTGATCGATATCAGAAGTCGTCGTCCCAGCTGGAGCTGAACATTTGGTATGGCCTCTGATTTCAGATGCTGGAGTAGAAGTATGGGGGATGTGTGGTTTCGCAGGTTAGGATTCCTTGCATGTATCTCGAAGGTCACAGCGGTCAAATCCCTGACGCAGTAATCATATCATCATTGGGCCCCTCAGGACCCTCAGGACTGTCCCACAGCAGTAGGTACTGGCTTGATTTCAGTGAGGTTTTTAAATGAAGTGATACTAAGGCATACGTTGGCAAAAAGAAAAAGACATATCCTTTCTTTTTGTGAGAAAGATATTCAAATGTGACATTTCTGGGTAGAGCAATGAGAAGTTGAATCTGAAGCAATTTGGGCCTGTTTTTTTACACCCAATGCTCCAGCCAGTGCGCTTCCCTGCCAGTGCCGAACAGCACAGCATGATGGGAAATGCGAAGACTGAAATTTCATTGTGCTTGTTGCCTGTAACCTGGCTTTCTGTTCTGTGCGGATTGTTAATGTCTGTCTGCTGTTCTCCCCAGAAGCCGGACCATAGGGGCGTACAGCATGTGGCGGCTGACGCACTTGACGCTGTTGTGCGCTGTCACAGCATTCTTGTATACAGGTAAGCGTCGCATCATGCAGCGTGGCAGAAAGTTAACTCTCTTCCTCTTTCTTTTAAAAAATATTTTGCACACGTGTCATCGCTGGCGTCACTGTGCCGTCAGTGGTACCTGCGTGTGACTCATCCCATAATACGTGCTCTCCATTTCCTCGCGCGGCCGCAATATGGAAGCGTTCGATAAGTCTGTTAGACTCCGAGGTCCGACTCGTCCGGGGGGGGGATCACCTGCCGATGCCCTGCCGGGTCCTTCTGTCTGCTCAGAAGCCGGGAAAGTACAGTATGTGCTTTTGGGTGGGGGGTACAAAAAATGCATCCAAAATATGAGCGATTTTGAATGAGTTTAACTTTAAATCCTATTTCCGTCTGCGGTCCCCCAGAATGCGCTGGCCCGTGCTGTTCGGTGATTATCTCTGGGGGAGAGCGGGCAGGGCGGGGCTGGACAGGAGCTGGGAGCCGCTCTGGTTTCACAGCCGGGGTTTGCCTGCCGGGCATTTCTGTGTCCTATTAGCATTCCTTTGTGTCACGAGTGCTGGAGCATGGCCCATGCCGTTGTCTGCACTCACACCAGCACCACACCCCTCTAGCAGCTGGCTGTTTTTATATTTTTTTTTCCCCCCTTCTCTTTTTCCTCAGTTGCACCCAGTGCAAATATGTAGCAGAGAGAGCAGGCAGGGTGAGAAATTTCCTCAGTTTGCTTCACCTAGGGACTGGGTTAGGCTTTCTGACCGGCGATCAAGATTCCTGCCCTCACCACACACATAAATATTCCTATTCTCTCTTGAGATGTGCAGGGCAGGGCGGGGAGGGGTGTGGGGGGTGGCTTATGGGTATCACAGAGGCCTGATGGGAAAGTATTGTGATGTCAGAAGCACATAGGTAGGTCCACCTTTCTGCCATTGTGTTCTCGCAATTAAGCGTGGAGCCGGCTCTCTCAGCAGGGTGTTGTAAATTCCGTGCGTGTTTATCTGCATTAGCTCGCCGATCGCCTCCCACATTCTCAAAACATTTGCCGTCGGATCTTCACGTTAAAATGTCCGCTTTTTTTTTTTTCTCACATCCAGTCGGCTGCGTGTAAGAGTTGACTCGATGGTGCTGTCCTTCTTCCCTTCCACACGGCAGGGATGGCGGCGGCGATGCAGATAACATCCACGGGCCCCCAGACAATCCAGAAAGCCCTGGGGGAGGCAGTCACTCTGGGCTGCACCTATTCGCCTGGAGTCTCTGACACAGGGGAGCTGGACATCGAGTGGTCCATCATTAGCCCGGACATGACGCAGAAGGACCGACTGGTGAGGACAGTGCACTTTAAGAGGAACCTCCTATTTTCCACAGGGTTCCTTTTCCATCCTTGTATTACAATGATGATGGTGGTGGTGGAGGTAATGATGATGACCTTCATCCTCAATGAATTGCTACATAGCTTGTGTCAAATTGTGCTGCGTATTGTATCTCCACAGACGAACTATTGACTTCTTTTCACTTCTGAAATTGCTCACCAAAACTCCCCAGTGTTCCCTAATTATTCCATCCAAGCCAGCATAAAGGCTGTAATTTGTCAATCTAAACCTTCAGCCCATCTCAACGTATGGCTGACCAGCCTCTCATACTCTGCTAACAGAGCTTCACCGGCCTTGTGGGGACAATGGGTTCTCGGCTTTTAATTCCCCTTTGCGCCCCCTAACCCCCACAGGTCCTGTCATTCACGGGCGGGCAGGTGTTTGGATACGGGCCCTCCGGCAGGATGCAGCAGATGAACTTCAGCTCCCCGAATCCAGCCAATGGCGACGCCTCGGTCACCCTCACGAACCTGAAGCCCTCGGACACGAGCACCTACCAGTGTAAAGTGAAGAAGGCCCCTGGTGTGGACATGCGCAAGCAGACGCTGGTGGTGCTGGGTGAGGCGGCGTCCAAACCGGCCTGGGTCCCGTTCCGGTTCAGCTTGTTCCTCCCCATCTCTGTCTTTTATTTCCTTGCTTGTTCTTCTGGAATAACGCGTCTCATGAGTCAGTGTGTTTTCTTATGATGTGAAAGCGTGTAATTGTGATTGAGAGCTCTCCCACTACGAATGCTGGATCCCGATCCACCGAAACGGTGATAAGCCAAAGGCTTTCTGAGCCCAGTTTGTGTCAGCAAGAAAGTGCTAAAGTGTTGGGATGTGTGTGTGTGTGTGTGTGTGTGTTCTTGAGACTATATATCTTGAATGTGAATGTAGTCACGGTTGCAGGAGAGAGTTTGATATAAAGCAAAGGTCTATTTATAGGGGGGGTGAATTAATCCACATTAAATATTGGGGGTAACCCCCCTTCCCCCAGTTCCTATGCCCCTGTCTGCAAGGATAGTAAAATAAGATCTTGCAGGGTTAGCTGCAGAGGGTTAAAAACATAAACATTTTTAAAGTTGGCTCTTTAAAAAGTGCTATTTTTGGTATGAGGTTTAATTGCATGTTTCATTACAGTTGACCGTTTGTTACTGTATTATTTAATATGCATGTGTATATTATTTAACAGTGCATGTTTAATTATAGGCTCAGTAATAGAAGAAGGTTTGGATTTCCTGGAAGGTTCCTTAGTGAGATGATCAGCTTGCCCATTCGGGGTCACAGCGTGGCCCATTCGGGGTCACAGCGTGGCCCATTCGGGGTCACAGCTTGTCCATTCGGGGTCACAGCGTGGCCCTGCGCCCTTTGGAAAGCGGAGTCCTTGCCCTGGCATTTACCGCTTCACTGACTCCGTAACGGATAGTTGGTTCTCACCTTGGCTGGTTCATAACGGCTAGTTCTTCGGACCGTCACGCTCAAACTCCTCACGCTTGCCGGCACATTTATCCGTGAAACGTTGTTACGGGGTGGGTATCGGGAACACTAGGGGGGCGCTCGCGTTTATCCGGCTCCTGTCCCTGCCTCTCCAGTGCCGCCATCGATGCCAAAGTGCTGGGTGAATGGTGATGAGGAGATCGGCTCTCCGGTGTCGCTCCGCTGCACATCCTCGCAGGGCTCCATGCCGCTCACCTACCAGTGGACGAGAGAGGACGGGGGTACCCTCCCCAGCATGGCCACCCAGAGTGAGTGGGATATCCCGACCTCCTCTTCATCTGCCGTCCTTCCTGTATTTAACTACCCGAGGACATTTTTATTAAGGTCTGAGGAACCACTATCATGTCAACATTGTAGGACCCCTCTAACAATAAAGCATATTTTATTAGACTGCTCTGCCTATCGTACCATTAGACAACAATTCCTCTCCGTGCTATATTGCATGGTGTTTTTAATAATGTGTCACCTAGGAGGGTTTTAGAATTTATATAACAAACACATTTTATCCACATCTTGTAGTAATAAGCTTGGTATGTATTTTATTTGTAAGCAATTTTATTTTATTTTATGCCTTCAGTTTTAATAGACATATTGATATTTACCCATTTATATATCAATCTATCTAGTTATTTAATGTATATTTAAGTATATATACAATTTTATCTTATGCCTTTCTCTATATGAATATATTTAGACTGAACTTTGTTCTTGTCATGAGATTAAACTTTCAACGACCCGTCTACCCGTATTTGAGTACTGGATCTGCAGTGGTCTCACCATTAAGATTACCCGTAAACCATTCCCACAAAGCAGTATGTTTTACTATAAACTTGGGTTATTGTCTTGATCTGATATAATGTCTATAATCCTCATCAGGGTTAAAGGTAACATTCCATATAAAACATGGGAAGAATGTGAACCTACAAGACCTCCGCTATTTGAGGAAGCACTTCTTTACACAGCGTGTAGTTAGAGTATGGAATAGTCTTCCTGCTAGTGTAGCGCAAGCTAAAACCATGGGTTCCTTTAAATCAGAGCTAGATAAGATTTTAACAACTCTGAGCTATTAGTTAAGTTCTCCCCAAACGAGCTTGATGGGCGGAATAGCCTCCTCTCGTTTGTAAATTTCTTATGTTCTTATGTAGTCCTCTGCTGAGACTTGTTTGGTTAAGAGGATCCCTGAGTCTGAAGGCAACCTGCTGGTCTTGTTATGATCATGATGATAAGTAAACATAGATCAGAGGTAGAAGCGGGCTGGGTCAGTGAGTGATGTAATGGGTAAGGATCCACCCTGCTAATGCGCATGGCTCGGGTTCAAAGGAGAGGCCTCGCTGGTGTCTAGTCGAGAACAGCGTTCAAGGTGAAAGAAGCTGTAGGCTGAGTTCTTCGGTTCACATGAAACTTCCTGCAGAGTCACTTGTACATATCAGCTAAGGGTGCCATCTGATCCCAACGTCGGGTTACCGGTGGCTGTTGTCACTTTCAGACCCCGGGACAGGAGAGCTGCTGATTCGGAACCATTCGGAGAGCTTCACCGGGAGCTACATGTGTGAGGTGAAGAACAACGTGGGCCAGGCGCAGTGCAGATACAACCTACGAGCTTACCAGCGTGAGTCGCCCCTCCCCCCAGCTGCAAACACTCCCCACAACTATCACCCTGCTTCCAGGACTGGACGTGGCATCCCCTTGCCTTCTGGGCGTGGCATCCCCTTGCCTTCTGAGCGTGGCATCCCCTTGCCTTCCAGCTCCCCGTCTGAGCAGATGTTTTGGTCTCTATGCTGGAGCGCCATCCATCATGAATACTGGCAGGAATCCAAAGGGGCTGCTTTCTTAAAGCAACAAAATATGTGGACACCGTTATGCTGTTTACATTTGTCTACTCAAGCCAGAGATTAAAATCAGTGGGGGAAAAACTAATAAAGATCTGAAGCAAAATGCATGCTTGCTTTACACCCAACAGCTGACTGGAATCAGTCTTATTTCAGCTCTAAGATTCACAGACCAACTTACCTATTGTGTCTCTGCCATGAAAGCAGAGGGTTGATCTACCTGATCTTTCAGGTTATGTTAACTCAGGTGTGTGCTTATTGCTTATGTTTCTCTTCCTAGCTACCAATAAAACCGCAGTGATAGTGGGCGCTGTGATTGGTGCCCTGCTTCTGCTCCTCCTCCTCCTCCTGCTCATCTGGCTTCTGATTTGCTGCTGCAATAAGCGTCGCTACGAGAAAGAAGTGGCTAATGAGATCAGGTATGCTGTGGACTAAATAGGCCAACCTAAGCTAAGCACTTACTATCATATTCACCATTTTTTGTCTTATTGTATTACAAACACATACATATTCCCATAATGTATTACATGAATTAACACTAACAAGGATAATCTTTTGATCCGCAGAAATCACGTTCATTTTAATGGCTTTTAAATTTATACCTGACCCTTTTAAAATGTTATCAAATGGTTAGCATAAAGTTCTTTTTTCTTTTTCCCGAAAAAATATTATCTATCTTTCCTGCCATTATGTGCAAAGCAAAGGGTTGTATTTACTGGAAAGGCTGAGAGTCGAGCAAAGACCCCGGGCGCGATATCACTCTGTCAGACTCCCCGCTTTCAGCCGTCTTTAAAAGACGAGCCAGCCCTGCAGGATTAGCCGCGTTCTTCCTTTTTCAGCAATCGCTTACAATCAGGGTTGCTGTTACCCAGAGCGTATCCCAGGAGGCCCGGGGAAAGGGGGCGGGGCCCCGTAGCACAGCAGCATGTGGAAGGATTCATGTGGATGTACGCAGTCCTGCATTACGGGGAGAGAATGGCAGTGACTGGGACTGGGACTGGGACTGACCTGTGTTATTATGCGCTCGATTATCATATTATTTTCAATTTTCATTTGAAATCGAGTTTAGTTTTAAGTTCAGTTTGATTGTATTGGATTTTATTAGTTTTCATTTAAAAGATATATTTCTGTTTAGTTTTTATATATTTAAATTTCAATGTAAGTGTTAGTAATTTTATTTCTATGAATAAACTAAAAGTTGTAGACCTATTTTATGCCTGATGTTTCGAAAATCCTAAATAAGTACCCCACGTACGTTGTTGAAATGTCCTCGGAATGGGAAAAACATGTTCCAGGTATTAATAATGGTAGTTAAAGATAAATAGATAATTACTTTAGCAAAATAGTATTGAAAGAAGGAACAGAAAGTATTTTATGTTTATTTTAATTTTATTTCAAGTAGTTTCAGGAGCAACATTTATTGTTTTATTTAGTTCAGTTCGCGACAATATTTTCTTATTTTTAGTTTTCATTTATGTTAATTCCCCCTCCCCCGCACACAGGGAGGATGCCGCAGCCCCCCCCCCCAGCCGCCCCTCCAGCCGGAACTCCAGCTTCCGCTCCGTCATGGGTTACCGCTCGCACCCGGGGGTGATCTACAGTTCTGTGAAGATGGGGCCAGAGCACGGCCATGGACGCCACACGCCCCTGCCCAGCGGCCACGGGCTGAGCTACGACAACCAATACGGGTACCCGGTGTGACCAGGCGTGTCATGTGACCAGGCAGAGCAGGGGGCGGGGCACTGAGGTTACCCACAAGACCCTTCCCACCCTGGGCGTGGCCTCAGCAAAGCACTCTTATTCTGAAGATCCTAGGACGCCACCTACCTGCAAAGTCAAGGACACAATTGGACTAACTTTTTTTTAAAGGTGAACTGGTTCGTCTCTGTACCATGTGATAAAGGGACATCTTTCGAAGAACATATTTTTTTAACCTTGTATATATTATTACTGGCTGTATATATGTAAACTTGTAACTTGTACTGATGTAGCAGTTTGTTTTTATATTTACTACTGTGGAGAACAAACTTGAAACGATTACATGACATATTGCTGAATGTCAATTTTTTTCACCAAATTCATGAGAAGTTACTTTCCAAAATTGAGAATGTAAGGGTGTTATGTGGTACTGCGTAGGACCTGTAAGGGTGTTATGTGGTACTGCGTAGGACCTGTAAGGGTGTTATGTGGTACTGCGTAGGACCTGTAAGGGTCTTATGTGGTACTGCGTAGGACCTGCGAGCAATAGGGTGACCACCTAATCCATGTCAGGGAGGACACTGAGCTAGGACAGGGTTTGCAAACTACCGTTACAATTAAAAAGACCTGGATTCTGGATTCCACTTTAGCACTGAGTTCTTGCTGTGTGCTGATTGGTCAGTCTCCTATTATCACGCATGTGTCTTTCAATCAAGGAAAGAAACCAGTCGAAGCACAAGAAGAGCTGAACTATTTAGCCAAGCATATGAGCCTTTCAGTTTTGAAGTAGATCATAGTAAACCCCCCCCGACATCGATTAGGTGGTCACCCTAGCGAGCAGGTGTTCAGCACTGATGGTATTTATGCTCTGTTACTGCTCATGATAAAATGATCACTGTGTAACAACCATTCCTGTGTACTAATTACAGAAATGTCTGAAATTGCTGCCACTGCCAGGCATATACAGCCTTTAATCCAGCATATAATAATAAAATGTAGAGCAAAGGCACGTTTGCTGGTGTTTTTATGAAGTGCATTTCCTGGGGTCATTATCGGCTGTAGATTTCTTTCTTCACTGATGCTGCAGTGATTGTGGAGTCTGATGGGGGGTTTTATTTCCTGTTTGGTGGGGGCGGGGGTTTGAATCAGCAGCTTTTTTATTGACTGGCCGTATTTGATTACGTACCCCCCCCCCGCCCCATTTCATTTCTCCTGTTGGAACAACTTTGTCAAAACAGACAAAGGAGGACGTGTGTGTGTGTGTGTGTGTGTGTGTGTGTGTGTGTGTGTGTGTGTGTGTGTGTGTGTGTGTGTGTGTGTGTGTTTCTCTGTGTCTGTGTGTTTGTGTGTTTTGTCAGATCGTTTCTTCAAAGCCAGCTACCATGTGGCTTCTCAAGATAAAAAAAAATCACTCCAAGACATCAGGCTGGTGTGGGAATATGGTTTGGGTGCTTCTCTCTCTCTCGGTCTCTCTCTCACACACACAATGCACAATATTTTTATAGAAGAAATTATGTACCTGTTTACCAGCTAGATTATGGCGAGATGATAAAAGGTTTCCTGCAGACAAATCGCTTGGTGGGAATCTTTGTAATCGATTGTTTGGTGACGCTCTGCTGGGCCAGTAATGGGCTGTAAGCAGTAGGCAGCCAAATCGGAATTTCCCTGCTCCACAGAAGGACCCTGTGCCATTTATAGCTGTACGAAGAGGTAGTGGGCCGGTACCATACCCATCATCCCTCTATCAACAGCTACTTTGTTTAACTGGCAAACGTAAATAAAGGAAAGTATTCATATGAAATTTACTGTTAAAAAAATCAGGTGTTTTTTTCCTAAAAGGCATGAAGTTGAAATAAACTACTTAGGGCATTGAAAAGCTTGTACTAAAAGTAGCTTGTCACACGTCGTATAATGTTGGCTTTTCTTTTTCCTTCTTTAAAACAAACATGGAGTTGGGTGCAATGATGATGCCAGCCAGACTTTAATAGGGTTGCCCAAACCACAGGGGGAAAAAGTCACTCGGCGATATGTATACGAATGTAATTCTTTCATCTAATACTCAAGCATCTAATCATTTTCAGTTCCAGTGGAAAATGTCCGATATAGGCTCTGAGCTCCCTATTTTCAGATATCACCAAAGCAAATTATATTGCTCGTGAAAAACACTTATCAGATGTTACAATAATTACTTGCAACTGAAGATAAGAAAGCTTTAGGAGAAATATTTGGAGATCTAAAATTAGATATTCCTGCCATATACAATATTTATCTAGGATGCGTTCTATTTATTAATGCCTTCACTTAAATTCTTAGATTAACTTAGGCAAAACATATTGGAATGTTTTAATTAAAAAAAGATATAGTTTGCTTGGATTTTACATAAAACTTTAATTTGAACTTGGCTGAAACTTAACACAGTTAATTATTTGCATGACAAAGTCCAAATGCTCTAAGCAGACTCATCCAGATAATGAGGGATATTTTGACTACGCAAACAAGGCAATATTTTCATATGCAACCACGCAGGTATGTAAATAGCTTTGCAAAAAATGTGGAGAAGAGAATCATCTGCAGAAATGACGGCGACTGGGAGGCTGGGTGTGAGGGTAATCTAAGATCACGCAGGTCCGCAGAGAGTATCGTGTGCTGTGCGCAGACTGATGAAGTCACCACAAGGCGATGCAGCAGCTCCTGGTTACTGTCTTCAGACTGTATCTCCAGACAAGACTCATTACTTTTATATGAAACCAGGTTTGCTAATTCCATCTTCAGCTTTCTCATTAAGTCATTCAAATGTCTCTTCTCCCCAATTATTGATTAATTGTCCAGATGATAAGTTAGAGAGTCAGAACTGAAACATGTACCAGGTAGTCGGTTGAAGGGTCGCATTTGTGAGATAATGCAGATAAATGTAGTGGTATCCTGGGGNGGGGGGGGATTATTCAGGTGACTTGCATTGTTTTTGTTCATTATAACTGTCTCATTCATATCTATGAACTAGTGTTTTTCAACCCAGTCCTCGGGGACCCCTGACACCTGAGCCAAACAAGCAAGCGATTAAGAACACTGTGTATTTTGAGCTGGGAGGGTGTGAATATGCAGACTGCCTGGGGGTCTTCAAGGACTGGGTTTAGAAACACTGGTATCATCTGATGAAGTCTCTCCTGTCTCACGCTAACTGTCAGTCTGCCAATATCGGTCAATAAGGAAAACTTAATCACTAATAACCCCCCCCCCCCCCCAAGCCATGTGACATGACTCACCTCACATCCCAGTTGGAGTGATTCACACAGCCCCTTTGAATTAAAAGGAAATTAATTCCATTCTATTTTAAAACTAACAATCTCAACCAAGATCCTTGAGATGGAAAATGGAGGGAAATTCTTCTCACCTTCTCATCCATACAGGGATACACGTTTCTGTAGTTTTGAAGGCAAACTATCCGATTGTGTTATTTTATTTTTTTATGCAGAGGTGCAATTTTCATTTGAGAGAGATTTGAGACTGTCAAATGGGTCTACTGCTCTACTCATCACTATGAAATGGTGTCCCTGGAAAATCAGTACTGGATTCTGCTGGCAAGAGTAAGATAAGTACAGTGTTTGCCATCCATCACTGACACACACACTGTACGAGCCCAGACCACAGTGAACGCCAGCTTCAGCTTTTTAAGTGACACTGCAGCTTCTGGCTTGCAACGGGCACTTTTAAATTGTTCCACATTTATTCCAAGATGATGTTCTGATTTTGTAGCGTGCTGTTTTTTTTTTTTTTTTGACGGCAGACCCGGATACATATCGAACCTTGAGTTTCCATCCTGCAAAGATAAGATAAAATGATGACAATTTAAACAATTTGTCTTTCCGCAATGATGAGACTGTATAATTTTGTCAGTTCGCCTGAAATGTAATATAGACTCTCGACCTTGCAATTCTGTTATTTTTACCCTTGTTTCTGTCATTGCATGCTGTCCTCCTAAAAGTACCAATCACAAACAATTCTCCCCTGCTGCATACCAGGAAAACCAGGGTCACATCATCTATTTACAGATGAGCTGGTTTGGCACACTTATTAACGTTGGAACCCCTGCAGTAGGATCCAAGAGATGATTGATTTTCCATGAAGCACGTACGTGTCGTTCTGTAGTAATTAGTTGAGATGTAGGTGGGATCGCTGGCCTATGAAATGTAAATCAGCCTTGCAAATGTGGCCACCCACATAATTCTGGGCTCAATACGAGGGGAAAGTGGCTAGACAAGCAAATCTTTGGGTCCGACCACAACACTGAGGGCGCACATTCATTTATGCTTCGTAATTCTTTCGTTAGCTTAAAATGTGCGTCTTTAGCTGGGACTTCACCTGTGTTTCCATGGACGATATAATTTGTATCCATCATGTGAGATGTAGTCATTTAACAAACACAGCTAGTGCCTTAGACATGCTGTTTCTCTCATGCTGTGATACCCCACCGTTTTCCCTGTCCACGTCACGTCTGTGCAGCGCCCCCTAAGGGCTGCTAGGTGACCTGCTGGTGCCACTGGGAAGCATTCCGACTGGTCTACAGGGCTTTGTCTGATGTAAGTCCTCTGTTTCCTGTGAAATCAGGGTGATTGACACATCATGGAACGTTGCTATGCTTTAACTTAAACTTGTTTCTGGTTATTCATTGGAAGCTCAGTCTAGCTACTCTTGAATCTAAGTTGTCTTACTGACAGCTTTACACTTATGAAACATTATCTGCCTTCGCTTGTACGTTACTTTGAAAAAAGCACCCTTTATGTCAATGTAATGTACATTACAAGCTATGCTATGAGAAATAATTGCATGGTGAAAAAATGTTTCTCAATACAGAGTGTGCATGTATGAGTGAATGGCCTGTGAGTGAATGGCGTGTGAATGAATGGCGTGTGAGTGAATGGCGTGTGAGTGAGTGGCGTGTGAGTGGATGGCGTGTGAGTGGATGGCGTGTGAGTGGATGACGTGTGAGTGGATGACGTGTGAGTGGATGGCGTGTGAGTGAATGACGTGTGAGTGGATGGCGTGTGAGTGAATGACGTGTGAGTGAATGGCGTGTGAGTGAATGACGTGTGAGTGAATGACGTGTGAGTGAATGGAGTGTGAGTGAATGGTGTGTGTGTGAGTGTGCGCTACCATGGGTTGGTGCCCCATCCTGGGTTGTTCCCTGCCTTCTGCCCCTAGCCTCTGAGAATAGGACAAGCGGGTTTCAGAAAATGAATGGATAAATACAGAGTTACGCACATTTCCTCAAAAGAAGTGCGTATTTTAGATTTTCATGTGGTATGCTGTGCGTGTGTGTGGGCAGATTTGATTTATAAGATTCTCGTTTTTGAGAAACTATTTCCTGTAGGCCTTTTGCACTTCGCGTTCAGTTCCTTGCTCAGTTCTGGCTGTTAATAAAAGTAATAAAATCGATATATATGTGTGGTCGCTACAAGGTCCTAAAATCTTTTCTAGCATGCACATTGTAAAATATATTAAAGTAGAGGGTGAATGGGAGCCAACCTAGATATCTGTGATTCAGACTTTATTTTATGATATTCCTTTTGGGTTCTCCTTTGGCCTGGAAAGCAGATCCGACTCGGGGAGAGACCGAGGGGGAATAAAACATTCTCTGGTTTGCCGTTGCTGCTCCTTTCCAGGGAGATTCTCCGATAAAAGATTATTTCCTCCCCATTGCTCCCGTGACGACTGTTTGCATGACAACGGCCTGACAGCGATACTGACGACCCACGTTTGTTACACGCTGCCGCATCGCTCTTCTTCAGCCTCTCGCCCGAGAGACGATAATCTCGCCTCACTCCAGTTAAATATCTCCGCGCCGCGGCCGCATGTGTCAGCAGATAAGAGTCTCCTTCTCTTGAAAGCAGCCCCTTCAGAAAATCACAAGGTGACAAAATAACATTTAAAAAAGGCTTAAACCATGGGAAAAAAAGATATTCCCACGCAGCAAAAGAGTAGGCTGCCCAGTAGATCCCATCGTGCAATAGGTTTTTAAAACCTCCTACAGTTCATCTAAGCAATTAAGACTGACAACTATTCATATCCCTCCTGAGAGTTTGCAGCATTAAAAATAGCTAAACACCTGGTGAGTCAAAGGGGTTGAAAGCTGATCTTATATGTAATATTGTTGGGTCTGTGCAGCAGAAGGACCTGTTGCCTTATCAGCTATTGGGACACTGAAGACATCCCCGGAGATTGATGTCGCAAAGGCCGGAGTCATGGAAACGCCATAATGCTATTCTTCCTTTGTCTGGCCATCATCTTCATTCGTTCAGCCAAAAATAAGTAGACGATAACCTGTGGCTTGGTATGTTTTTTTTTTCTTTCATCCCCCAGAGAGATTTAGCAGAATCAGTATGTTGAACGGATCTCCTTGGAGAGAGACGTTCTTTGCACACTGGCTGCGGTCCGTCCTCACTTCGGCCCAAGGGACGCAGTGCTACTCCAAACACTGATAAATCATGGAGAATAGTTCAAAGTCAGCCTGCCAAGCAGAAACGGTGGCTTAGGCCGTCTCCTGCTGAAACGCTAGAACCAAACAGCTTCAAGCGCTTCAGTCAGCTATGAGCACATTATCATACCGCTGGCGCGTGTTTTCTGGAGTGCTTAGAAATACTGACGAGCTGATTTTTTTTATTGGCTGGCTCAGTGGGCGACGCGCTTGCCTTTGTACCTGCAGGATTACGGGTTTGAAGGCCAGCCGCTCTGCATCATGCCTGCTTGCATGTCCCCCTCCCCCCCATCTGCATGTGTCACCCCTGGGTGCTCCATTTTCTTCCTGCAATCCCAAAACATGCTTCTAGGTGACGTGGCATCTCAAAAGTGCCTGTAATGTGTGTGACCCTTGACACCCAATGGCCAGTGTTGACTGTGGGAGGCATCCTGTGACCCTACATAACATGATTGGATTTGTCATATATACAGGTATCTATCCATGTCATCCATCTGGCACTGGAACCACTGGACGCAAGTCAATTTGGGCATATCTCGATAGTCATGGAGGGAGGCAGGACATTAAGTACAGTACTGTGATATATACATAGTACACTACAGCCAATTGTAATGTAAATATAAAGGACTTTAGAACAAAAAGGGATTGCACCAAAAATAAGGCACGAATTTCACTACGAAATCAAAAGATACGCGCGGTAGCAAACAATGAGAGCTGAGAAAGAAGACTGTGCCTGAAGCTGTTTCATCATACAGTATTACACACGTTTCTTTTTATTGTAATGAAATAGCACAGTACAGGTACTGTATCATATCTGCTTATTGTGGCTTTCCATCACATATACATTACTGCATGCAAACTGCATTACAAATCAGTTACTGACAGCACTGTCCTGTTACACACCAGCTAACTCCCTACTGTGTTCGTTTTCAGGCGTCTCGCGATCAGGGTATATTCTTTACTATGGACCTCGAACCTTCCTGTGGTGTTCGGGTCGGCACCGACCCGTTTGTAAGTTTCAAATGCATAAAAGCACAACATAAATTTGCATCAAGGCTTTTTGACTTTGTCAGGAATCTCTATTTAAACAAAATAAATTAAAACAAAATCAAGGCAAGGTATGCCCAGACATGTAAGGCAAGATAAGACCAATTCAGTTTATTTATATAATTCTCTTGAGGTTTATTTTACCATCTTTTTTTTAATTGAAAACGAAAGGTATGCTGTCAAAAGAAAGGTCCAGAAAGACACACCAAAAATATCAAAAACAATCTTTTCATGGAGAAGGAAGCCTAACAAGGTAACCAAGAGGTAAGAAACAAATTGGATGAAAAATAATTGTTTTCAGGGTATTTTATGGCTGATTTAAGACACGGGTCGGCACCGACCCACTAACATAAGAGATAGGAACAGAAAGCTAACACAGGACGAAGGTTAAATATGATAGGATAGTATCTGATAGGACGTAAGTTGACAGATACCTGTACTGTATATTTTTATACAGGTACACATCTTTAACGCACACATGTGAGTCATGTCAGCATCCCAGGGAGCAGAGTGGTGCAGCAGACGCCTGCTGGGCCCAAAACTCAGAGGCTGACTGATCAAAGCCATTTTCTGCTGAAGAGTTGTGATGTGTTCGTTCTCTGAAGTTTAAAAAGGAGCTGAAGGGCTCAGTTGGTTAATTATCATGTTGTGGTGCAAATGAATCCGACTTACAGCCTTGGCAACAGCAAATCAGTTTCTACTTGGGGGTAATGTGTGGCTCAGTGGGTTTGGATCCTATGACACTATGCCTATGATCAGAAGGTTGTTGGTTGAAATTCCAGAATCACCAAAGTGATTTCGTCATTGGGCTCTTGAGCGAAGGCCTTTTTTAACCCCCAATTGCTCCAGAGTTTTTCTGATTTTGCTTCCTCAAAAAAAACAAAACAACAACATCACTATGGATAAAAGCATGACACATAAAGCGAGTGACCTTCATCTTGTTGCATGTGCTCTTCTGTGGTCACTGCTCGATTTCCTTGGTCAGAGGTGAGCTGGGGTTTGTGGGTGAAGATGTCTTCCGCAGTGGGCTCATGCAAATGGGCTGTGTAGAAATGACTCGTGGGAGCCTCTCCGAGGATCTGTACCGGGTACCCTTCGACATGGCAGGATACCCACCATGATAAAATATAAACGCAGAGGAAACTCACCCCTGAAGTGACATCTCCATAAATACACTCCCAGACAACACAATACTAGCCCATCTATCCTTCAACCTTGTCCGGCCCATTTAAGTAACACACACTATACAAATGCACACACACTTCTTACCTCCTTATGTGCGATGAATATTCATCCATTTATCCATTCGTTCATTTATCCATTTTCTAACCTTATTCTGGTCAGCTTCACAGGTGGGTGGAGCCTATCGCAGGCAACATAATGCACAAAGATGGGGTGACTCCCGGGATGCGCTAATCGGAATTGTAATCACACAGGCATTACATCCTCCTCATTACGCTCTATGTAAATGCCACCATGAGGGCTCTCCTCCAGCTTCTATGGATATGCACACGGGTATAAAAAGTCCAGGCTCCTCTACTTCCATTTCCAGCCAAGGGCTTCACCAGGAGTTCAAGGAAAGACCCATCACAGGAGCCGGGTTGTCACTCTCTCAAGCACCTCAATCTTGTCACGGCTGACTTTTCAGGTCTCTGCAACAGCTGTTCCTTCAGAAGCCAAAGGATCTTCAGACACGTCAGTGTAAGACCTGTCCACTGGATTGAAACATCCTTCACTGAAGCTCAATGCAAGACTTAGATTCTTTCAGGGAACAAATGCCAGTACTCTCCATCAGTTTTCTCTTTTGACTATGAGACGTGTGGGTATTACTCTCACATACGCTGCTCAACGGGAGTTGATGGACGGGTGAACTGCTTTTCTATTGAATTTCTGATTGAGTAATGGGCTTGAGTCACTTCCAGCCTGAGGGAGAATTCTGAAAGGAAATCAATCTAGGTAAACAATGCAGGACATTCACTCTAATGATAGAAAAGTTTAACTGACTGGTTATCTGGCAATATAATGTAATACATAATTTTCTCTTCCCAAAAGTAATTAAAATATCCAGGACACTGCTGAAAGTTCAGAAATAAGTCGGCCGGGTAATCTGAACGGATTTATGAATGAAATGAAGTGGGGGAATTAAGCTGTATTGGCTCGCAAACATAGTTGTAACCATTTAAAAGTAGGATTATGCACACAAATGATTTGAAATTATATATGCTTTGCATGTGAGAATATATGCTTTATATAAGGTACTTTAAAATGTCTAAAACTTTCTTTATAGTCATCTTGCCCCATCTACTGGAGTTTCTGCAATAGAGTGCATGCAGTGAAAGGACTTGAATATCAGTCACAAGTACCTCAAGTACTTATATGCCAATAGGTCAAAATACTTCTACTTATTAAGGGATATCAGTTGTCACAGTATCGATCTCGTGGTACATGCTATAGCATAAGACCTTTAAAGGGAACTGAACATCATGCTGTCTAATAGTACTGAATTGAGCATTTGGGTACTGGTTGGCTTCACTGCCATCCTCACAATATTCTTCAACCTTTACATCCTACTGATGAGTCTCCACGGCTACAGGCAGAATGGGCACTGGTTGCCCTGTGAGACCATCATTTCAGCACTGTCACTGACCAACATCCTTCACCAGATCATTTCCTACATCTGGATGACCATGGAGGAACTGGACAGGAACTGCCTGCTGAAGGAGCAATCCTTCTCCGTAATTTTGGTGATAGTCTTCAGCCTCAAATTCTCCATCATCTGGATCACCGCGTTCCTGACCTTCTTCTACAGCACAAAACTAGTGATTGAGCCCATCCACTGCTACACAAAGATCCAGGAGGCTTTCCTTAAGCACGTAGGCACCGTGGTCATCGCCATCCCTGTTTGTGGATTCATTACCTGCATGCCTCTGATAACCGTACTCAGCCCTTTAAACAAAACCATCGAAAATGAATTCTGCAGCTCAATCATTCCGGTCGGGTTAAATGGAACCATCTATGTAATTTACTACTTCCTGATTTCCGACGTCATCCCTGGACTGCTAATGCTCAAGAGCAGCATCTCCATCAGCGTCCACCTGGCCATCCACCTGCATCACATGAAGACCAGCAATAATGGCTTTCACACCCCCAAGCTGGGCTCTGAGATGCGAGTGATTCACATGAACCTTGGTCTGGTGGTGGTGTTCCTCTGCTTCCTGCTGGTGGACCTCTACGTGTACTACATGAGTATTGCCAAGATGGAGAACGTCATGATGCTGTCCATCCTGTTCTCTTCCATCTATACTGCCGTCAGCTCTCTGCTGCTCATTTATGGCAAAAAGACCTTCTGGAAGGGTCTTCTCCATTTGCACAACCTATTCATCGATGAGTATCCTTGTCTGGAGTGCCTGAAGGTACCAGAGAACAAGGCCAAAGAGAAGACAACTCCAGGACACTAGGCCAAACTCTACATGACCACATGTGTGTTTGATGTATGTCCACTGCTGATTCATGAGCTAAAGTTTATTAGTTCAAGTAAAAGTCAAGTCCTCTTTGTTCCAGATACACCTAAACTATCTTACACCACTCAGTTCTCCCTGAATGTTCTTAGCGTTGCACTTCATCTTTTGATTTGAATAGTTGTCGTATTAGATTCTTGCCATGTGAAAGATGTTGTACAGTATAGCTTCTGCTCCTATAGAGTTGTACCTGGGCAATCATTGGAAGCTCAAACAAGCTGCTCTTATGCATAGTCAACGCCTCAACAGCATGTATGTCACATTTTGGACAAAAGACAAACAAAGTAAATGCAAATAAATTAAACATAAATCCACAGAGGTGCCCTGTTGTGCTTAACAAAGGTGTTCAGTGTCCCACATGTCGCACAAGTAAAATCTGAATGAATGGGAAGGTGACGGTTTGACAAGTAACTTTAGATTAAAAGGGTTAATTAAATATTCAAAGGTTTGCCTCAAACTGGCATTGCGAGTGTTAGACTTTGAAGGGTCCCGAATTTGTCCTAACAATTACTGTAGCAATTAATGGATGATACCTGCTACTCAGAACTGTGTGGCATTTTCTGGGTGAAAGAGACATGTATCCACAAAGAGCTGCCCGCTATGAAAAATACAATTGTCTGAGTAGTTCGAAATGCATCTATTTTTTTTTTTTATTGTATATCATTGCCTGACAATTATAGTAGTACTCTGTGAGACCATATACTGGGTTAGTGGATGGAATATGGATGAATGTATGTATGGATTTATACTGGGACATAATAAATATGTTCCGCAATAGAGCAAACACAGGGTTGTATGTAAAATTCACTAACTATTGTGTTAATATTATGTAATTGCAAATAATACTTACAAATATAATCTTACTAATCAAGCTTTGCAAAGATTGCGCTTGATTATTTTGAGTAGCAGTGAAAAGTTATAAGCTCATATTTGATTTTTTAAAATTTATTTTCACAGCAAAGAGATGCTCGACATATGACGATATTATTGCGTTATATCTTTATCACTGCGATTCAACTACGTTTATAGTACCTGCCGTGAGCTTTCAGTGATAAGCATTAATGAGAGTGAAATACTAATCTCAGGGTTAGGATAACACAGAAAACACGTCCATTTTCTACTTTTTGAAAATGAGTGGTGTCTGAGTTCTTTCGCCTTTTAGATCCAGCTGTATCGGGGGTCTTTACTTCGATTGATCCGGATCGTTCAAGTAGCGAGGAAAGCGCAGCTTTGAGCGGAGACGCAATCGAGCAGTCGGAAACGGGGATCGACCAGCTGCTTCCTCATTTTCTTTAAGTTTTGAAAGCAGCTATAAATAAAATCGCCAGTCATCACGTCGCCATCGAAGGTGTACTAAACGTTGTTTTTTGTCATTTAGCTCTATCTAGAAGATTTGATGTATCCCCTTTTGTGGAGAAAGTGCGGGAGGCGTTGTCTCGTCTGTCCTGGGCTTTCAAGAACAGGGTACTGTAGGACTCCATTAAGTATGAACGTTTTATCTTGCTCGATCGTGGTCCTCAGTCCTACGGCGGGGACAATTACGGCTGGTCTAATCAGGTTTGAGTCTATGCATGAGTCTGTACTTTCAGGAAAAAAAAGAATGTAACCTACATTTTTAAGCATTCTCATATTTTTTTTTTCAATTTTCCCATCTATAAACCACACATCAGTGGTCTATTAACCTGCCATTTGCAGTCCCAAGTGTGTTTAAAAAGGTCACTCTCCATTAGTGAGGGTCATGCTATGCCAAGGCAATCAACCAGCTGAGGGGCAGGGAATTTTCATCAGAGAAAAACAGTATGTGCCAAAGTAACACGTCTTTGTTGCTTTATCTGGGATATGAAGGCTGAGATATTGCTTATGCAGTCGACACAGGCTTTCATTAGGAATGGAAGGCATAAAGGAAAATGGATTTTTTTTTTGGGAAAAACATCCATCCATCCACTTCACAACTGCTTATCCTGTCCAGGATCATGGCTTGCATACCTTAGTATTCATAAATCTAGATTTAACAAATAGGACCAGTCAAAGTCCTGATTATGATGTCACAATATCTTAGTGAAAATATGAGGAACCTAATAAAGAACAATGTAATGTATACACCACACAGGTTCCAAGGAACATTTTCTTTGTGCCTCTTGTTTTATAATAGCAGTGGATGAATTGTGTTATTTCATTACATATGTATGCAATCAACATACTAAGTAAATATATGAATTAATGAAGTGGTGCTTTATTTGCAATTTGCACAAGCGGATTGAAATGCTTTTTTCACATCTTGCTGTCCTTTGAGACAAACACAGAAACTGTTGGGGAAGTGACTCCGAAAAGTAACCCATTACAGACAGAGGTAGAAAGTTCAGGTCCAGAAAGTACAAATCCAGGCCAAAGTTTTGTTTTAAGCAACTAGTTGATTACTCTGTGACTGTGACTCTGTTTACTCAGCTGGTTGGTTGAAACAAAACCTTAGTCTGGATTTGTACTTTCTGGACCTGAACTTTCTACCTCTGTCAGGAATGGATTACTTTTGTGAGCAATACTGTCCATAAATATAGGCAAGAGCAAACCTGTGGTCTGAGCACAGGGTCGTGCTACTTATCCAGAGTCCAGGAGCACTGCAGGGATTTGAGGGCCTTGCTCAAGGGCCCAATGGAAGTGCGATTAATCTGCTGAGGTCGAGACTCAAACCAGTAACATTTCTAACTCTCTGAGCCAGGTACTACCTACCCAGAAAATTCACCTTAGCTGTCTGTGGTGTGTCTGACTGCTTTTAAGGCAGTTCAGTTAAATGTCAACTGTGAGCAGGTCCCAGGTGCCACAGAAAGTCAGAGAGGTGGACTGAAGGCTGTAACAGCAGCCCATGTATTCCTTCAATCCAAACCTCTGATATCTGTAGCCTGGAAGAGCCTCCCTGGAAGGAGCGAGTGCATGAGTAACCGATGGAGGATTCATGATTTTTTTTTCTTGTCACGTCCCCAGCTGACACCAACTCGCTTCATAAGACCAACTAATTCAACATCCCTACAAGCAAGACGACCTCATCTCTTCCATAATAATCTTCATGTTTTTAACCATTGAGTCCCACTTGCGTTAAATGTTTGATGACTATATAAAAGTTTCCACCTGCTCATCCACGGGCACCAAGAAAAAAACGTAGCCTCCTAAGCCCTATCCATAAAACAGTACCAGATGTGCACAAGAGAGATATGGTGAATATTACACCCACCCTGCGCCCCCCTATACGCCTCTGCTCTGTCTGTTACATAATTTAAAATCCAATAATAATCCCCGAATCACCTCAGTGTGCAGACATCAGCTGTGATCTTTTAATCAGGGCACATTCACTGTAGGCCTTCTTGTGTCTGATGGTCACTTCCCGGGCTGTATTCAGAAGGAGGGCTAAAAAGCTGGTAGAGACACCCGCTCTGTCCAGGTGGCAGGAGGACATCATGGGGCCGAAGCCTCCCACATGGTTCATGGTTCGGCCGACGCTGAATGGCGGTGATGCTGCCTGCCGCCTTCTAAAGAAACTCTAACTCTTCCTCAGCTGGCTTCCGCAAAAAGGTTTCATTGTCAGACACAAAAGCTCTGCTTCTAAGCCTGTATCTACCAGCAGTACACACCATTATCACGGTCTCTTCACATCAAATACTAGCAGCCTGGGCAATACACAATTAGGGGCAGAAGTCGCCCAACAACAAGTCTAAATGTAGACACTTTAATACAATGAGCAGCAACCAAAAGCCTAGGCTGATTCAATGCAGTGAATACAATTCTGCTGTAAATCTATGGCTCTATTAAAATGTCTCTTAAGTTTGGATACTGAAGTCCATATTTTGTGCTCCATATTTTGTGCTCCAATCTGGTCTAACGAGGTCCTGCTGGATTTTGCTAAGTTCTGAAATGACTCACTAAGATGTAAAATTAGCATATTTTAAATCAATTTTAAAATCTGGAGGTATTTTCCACATGGAAAGACACACAGAATCTTCACAGTTGAGTATTAAGCATTGTGAAATTTTGCTTCTTACTTTCAGCCTAAGCATCATAGCTGCATCCCCGTCTGATCGATGATTTGACAGACACACTGTGTGCATGAGTCACATGTCCTGCTGTCCAGCCCTGGGCCCTGGTCGCCACACTGTGCTCTGCTGGTCTCAGACTCACGGTAGGTACCCGTCTGCAGCATGAGGCTGCATGATGAGGGATCGCAGCTTCTCTCAGAGGACTCGCTGGGCATGGGGGGTGTTGGGGGGCCAGTCAAGGCAGGACTTTCATGCACAGCCACTGATATTGCAACAGGGGACGTGGAGGGCATCACCTACAAGAAGACGAACCAGGGGTGTCATTATGCCTGATTTAGGGGGGCTTTAGCCTCCCTAAAATGTTTTTTAGCCCACCCAAATAAATGTGCATTTATTGGCTTAAGTCTTGAATAGTTTTTATATTATATGTAAGTTTGTCATTGCCCCCCCAGTAAAGACTCAGCCCCCCTATCCATTCATCTCTAACTACGCTCCTGGCCAGTACGTCACGGTTCTCTGAGAACAGCTACATGTGTGCCAGGCCCAGCTTCAGCCCGCACCAGTCACTCCGCAGGAAGTATCCGGAGATGATGCATAGTGTCTTGCGGCTGCACTAGATGCTGCTCTCCACGCTGTCCAGCAGGCTGCTGTCTGGCCTCCCTGTCACAGTCCGGGACGCATGGCCACACCCACATGGGTTCCACGTCCTCCTCCAGATGGGGGATGAGCTCATGCACGACCCATAAGAAGTCATACCGACTCTACGTCATTAATGCAGCACAGGTGAACCTAGGCTGATCCATCGAGGCCTCCTGGCTCGCTGATGGGAGTTTCAATTACACAAAAATGTTTTGCAGGCAGAATGAAAAATGATTGGGTTGGAGAGATAACCAATCAGATTGCAGAGGAGGTGAC